TCACTTCTTTGTTTTTTGTTCTTTCTCTTTTGTGTCCTGTAACCTTTTCTTCCGTTAAACCTCTGTATGTTTTATTGGTGTCTTGAGCGAAACGATAGAATCGATCGGCTTTTAATGGCTGGGCGGGGAAACGATAGACTGGGTAGAAACTGGGACACCCGATTCAAGTCCCCCCTTTCGAAAAAGGGGGGGAATGAAAAACCAACAAACGCACACATACGACTACCTACCTACCATTACCCTGTAGGAGTTTGTCCGATGCTTTTTCTTTTTGCCAATAACACCTGTACAATGTTGAAAGCAACTACCGAGAGTCCTCGGCTTATCCTGCGTTCGAACGCGTGAGAGTTGAATAATGAGGAAATGTTACGATTCTAGACACACATGCAACATAATATGATGGACGCGGGGTTTACCTAGCTTATGACATGTGATATGATGTAGGCAAATATCTGTACGGGCTCCGCAGATGGGGTAAAGTATGTTCAAGCTGCGGGACGAGCCGAAGCAGCGCAAAAAGTTTCCGAATTGCTGGGAACGAATGCATGGCTGCGGGTGATCTCGGAAGATGCCCTTGGATCTGAATTCCTTGCCTGCATGGCTTGGCTTGTGCGAGCTTACTCTATAGACAGATACCTACGGCCTCTTGTTGGATAGGAGATACCGAGGCTTAATGACACGCTGCTTCTGAACAGATAGCCGTGACGTTTGGAAGGGACACTCGCTGATCGAGAACGAGGGCGTGGCTAGGCGTATACGAAAGGCCAAGATGCGGTGTCGCCTAGCAAGTTTGAACATATCCTATTGTTTGGTGTCCACGTGGCTGCGGGGGACCAGGTGAGCGGCTGAGATCAGGTCGAAGCCGATCGGTTAGCATGTGGAATTGGGGCAAGTTTTGGAAGCAGCTCACGAGGGCTTTTACTCTCGTCTCGTGTTGACCCTTTTTATCTGACCGTGAATGAGCAGCATTCTGCTTCATCTTCTTGCCGAGCAAGAATACTCGTGAACTAGAAATTCCCTACCCATCTCAAGATCTATAGTGAGGACTTCTCAGTTTGGGTTTACATCACCGTCGCTGTAAGTCCGCTCGAAAGAAGTTAAACAATGGCGGACATGTATATGAGTGATGACGAGTATAATATTCATCTGGACTCCGAGTTCCTGGGCATGGATTTCATAATTCGGCATGACTATCAATCGTAGGGTATGTATTGCTTTTCTCCTTACAGGAATTCAATGGAAGTGCGCAATTCAACCGAAAGAAAGCCCACATAGATGATGTGGGAAGGCGATAAAGAGGCACCCTAAACCAAACGAGAAAGAACTAGCCAGTCAAGCTAATTACTTTGCGGAATATATATTCAGACCTCCCTGGCGCATAATAAATTAGTCGATGGAACACTACCAGTATTCATCCCGTGACGAACCTATTCCTCAAGCGCAGTCTAAATAGGCGTCGCGGAGTGTCGCCGCTACAGGTTGACAATTCTTCCCAATGAGGAAATACTCCAAATCTTTGAGTCCACTTCTGACAACAAACCGGGGCCGATGTCCGCTCCTCTCCGCCGTCTCCTCGGGACTAACGACGGTGAACGGCCACGCGGGGGACAGAATACTTAGCCGGTCAGCGGTCTTCCGTCTCGAGATTCTCCGAAGATGTCCCAGCCAACCAATCAGCTCTCTGATCTGAGATGATCAATGGCCCATCGAGTTCCCGGGTCCTCGGGCCGCCCGCCGTTTCGCAGTGTCCGAGTTGGCGATCGTTCACCATGGCAGCACTGCTGTTTGCTTCGGAACATTGGTAAAGCCACATGAACTTGTACTAATCGAGTCTTGACTCTGGTCGCGAAATGTATTCCACTTCTAGGAGACACTCGGTAGCTGCCGAGCCAGCCCTAGTAAGGACGCAAAGGTTTAGTGACGCAAGATTAAAGGTAGGTATTCGTGAGTCTGGAGTAACCCGCTCGAGATCGTCCCACATCGCCCATTCCAAGGAATGGCGCATTACATATTCCGTCCAAGGTAGACTAGGATCCCCGTTTGTCATTCTTAGCTTTCAAATAAATTTAAGTCCTTTAAAGTTGCTTCCCATAACATTCCAAGCCCGCCCAATATTCTATTCACAAGAAATACGGCTATAGCACGATTGGAGAATCACAATCGAAACCTTTGATCAACCTCGCCTCGTCAAGCTGCTCAAGGGCCTGGAGCAAGACATCGAGCGATTACCACCAGAAACGACATGTCCGCCCAGTCGACAACATTGACGGTCGGTCAGGAGATTCCGCTCCAGGAATTGACCTCGAAAGAAGGCAGCCTTCTTAACACCGAAGGTCATGTTTTAGGATCGAATACAGATGCGACGGGAGGTCTTCCGGCTCCGACAACGACAGCCGAAGTTGTGCAGAGATGGAAACATCCGAGATCGAATCTCTTCAGAGTCCTGTCTTGCTTCTTCAGTCTCCTCGTCTCGGGTGCGAATGATGCCGCCTACGGTGTAAGTACCTCTCACAACTCTCATCAGAAACTCAAAGATTCGTATAGCGACTGACCTCATAAACAGGCTTTGATTCCCTACGTACGTTCAAACCTCCCGTCCAAGCTAAATGTAATATCCTCGATTTCACGCTGACGCCCCTGAACAGCTCGAAACCTACTACGGCCTCTCCTACGTTGTCGTCTCCCTTGTTTTCCTCTCCCCCTTCATCGGCTACGTCCTCTCGGCCGCCCTCAACAACTACGTCCACCTGAAGCTCGGCCAGCGCGGCATCGCCATCATTGCCTCCACGTGCCACATTATCGCCTACATCATCATCACCCAGCACCCGCCCTACCCGGCGCTAGTGGCCGCCTTCGTCGTCGCCGGCTTCGGTAACGGCCTGAGTGACGCCGGGTGGAACGCGTACGTCGGCAACATGGCGAGGGCGAACGAGGTCCTTGGCTTCTTGCACGCATTTTATGGTGTCGGCGGTGTGATTGCTCCGTTGATTGCCACAACTATGATTAACAAGGCGAACTTGGGTTGGTGGAACTTTTACTACTTCATGGTGAGTCTCAAGCCCCCCCTACTCCCCCCCTACTCCCCCCCTTTCTCCATAACGACGAGAGTATGTGAGTGTATGACATTCTCTAACTCTACGACACATCTCCAGCTCGGTCTAGCCACCATTGAGCTCGTGTGGTGCACAGCAGCCTTCTGGACGCAAACCGGCGCAGTCTACCGCGCGCTGGTAAGCCACTCCCGCAGCGACAACGCCGGAGGCGGCGGCCTCCGCACCGCCCTCTTCAAGCGTCCCTACGCCCGCGTCACCTGGCTCTGCGCCCTCTTCCTCCTCGCCTACGTCGGCACGGAGGTCTCTCTCGGCGGCTGGATCGTGCAGTTCATGATCCAGGTCCGCAAAGCCAACAACTTTGACTCGGGCATGACCTCGGTCGGCTTCTGGCTCGGCATCACTCTCGGCCGCGCGGTCCTCGGCTTCGTCACGCCCAAGCTGGGCGTCAAGCTCGCCGTGTCGGTCTACATCCCCATCGCCATGGCGCTCGAGCTGGTATTCTGGCTCGTGCCGCACTTTTACGTCTCCGCGGTGGCGGTCGCGCTTCAGGGATTCTTCTTGGGTCCGTTTTTCCCGGCCGTCGTTGTCGCGGCGACGAAGCTGCTGCCGAGGCACCTGCATGTCAGCACCATTGGCTTTGCGGCGGCGTTTGGTGGCAGCGGGGCGGCGATCCTGCCGTTTGCTGTCGGCGCGCTGGCGCAGGCTAAGGGTGTGCAGGTTTTGCAGCCGATTATCCTCGCCTTTTTGGGGATCATGCTCGTGTTGTGGCTGTGTCTGCCGAGGATTGGACATAAGCAGGAGTAAAGGAAATAGGAAGAGTCTAGCTGGAAAAAGAGTTATATGCGTATACAAATGGGTGGCCTCGTGAAAGAAAATTTGCGACCTAGGCCTATCTTAGAATGTGGTCACCGAGATGTACTGTGCATGATATCTGGAATTTAGAGGTTATCATGCTACGGATCACAGGCAGGGAGGGGTCTTGCATCAATCTGGGTTGTCCCGAAGGTCGACTAGAATTAGAATCTGCTCCAATTCAACACTTATGACTTGGTCGGCGTAGCAAGAAAAAAAATATGGGTACGATATGGGCCATATGGCAGAACAGAGCTGTCCCGCTTGACTTCACGATCATCAAGTGCCAGTGATACGGTGAACTAGAAAGGGGACTCACGTCTCTACAAATGCATGGCATTAAATGAGTACTTGCTCAAGCCAAGAGAAACATTTCAGAGCGTGGTTTAGTCAAGTTCCGTGATCTACTTCAAAGGAATGTTTGCAACGCGGTGTAAACGACCCAAATATGGCAGCATTCTAAAAAATTGAAAGTAGTACAAAGTACTATATAAAAGGTGGTAACAGAGTAACAGAAAAGAAAGTCAAGAAACAATTGCAACATTTGAAAGCTGGCAAATGGAAATCTTCATATACCCCCGGACTCGAACAAAGCAAATTGGCCGGTGAGTACCGGAATGTCTCACGCCACCGGAAGCAAGCGCGTCCCAGAGAAACCGGGGCTCCTGAACTCCGGGATCGGCACCGTCGGCCCGCTCCGACTCGGAACCGTGTCGGGAAACCTGGATTGCATACTGCCAATCACAAAACACCTCATACTTTCTTTTTCAGACACAGCAGTGTTGTCGCCTTGTCATACATACCCCTTCTTACAAACTACGTTAGTTGAGTCCAACGTCGCTCAGAAAACTTCCCCGGATCTTCTCCTTCCCAACCACCTATTTTCTGGTCCGGCGTTTCGATTCCGGTTGCCCGCACAGACAGCAGAAATAAGAGGGGTGAGGTGTTGACGACTGTAATCTGACAGCTGATAAGGAGAGAGAACCACACCAATATCTACTCACAACTTTCTCACAAGCACGGGATTTACTCAAAAGAAAAAAAAGAATAAGGCGCAACAATTGAGACAAGATGGGTTCTCAACCAACAATAGATATGGATTTTGTAGCTCTTCCTAAAATCGAGGTATGATTTCAAGGGATTCCTTCCGGTGATGAGACCTCGAACTATGGACACCTCATCTGACACTTATCACAGCTCCACGCTCACTTGACGGGCAGCATAAGCCGCCGCACCCTCCACGACATCTGGGTCCTCAAGCACGAGGCAGGCGAAACGGACCTCGAGGACCCCCTCGTCGTGATGCCGGACGGCAAACACGACTACGACCTCACCACGTAAAACCTCACCTCACCTCACCTTTTCCTCTCAACGACCTGCCATCCCTGGCCTGGGCTCACTAACAACACGCTCGGCACACAGCTTCTTCCCCCTCTTCTCATCCTACATCTACAACCTCATCACCGACGTCGACACCCTCCGCAAAGCAACTTTCTCCGTCCTGCAAGACTTCCACGCAGACGGCGTAACCTACCTCGAACTCCGCACCACCCCGCGCTCCTTACCCTCGCCGACCCCCCAGCCGCCGTCCGTCTACGTCGCCACCATCCTCTCCGCGATAGACGCCTTCGAGACCTCTCATAGGAAGAACCCCAACGCCATGCGTACCCGCCTCATCCTCTCCATCGACCGCCGCCACACCCCAGCCCAAGCCCACGAAACAGTCCGCCTCGCAGCCTCCTTCCGCGACAGGGGCGTCGTCGGCGTAGACCTCTGCGGCGACCCGGCCGCCCGCATCCACACTGGCCAGGACGACGGCAACTCGGAAAACATCTCCATCTTCCGCCCCGCCTTCGCCGAAGCCCGAACCCTCGGCCTCGGCATCACGATCCACTTTGGCGAGGCAGAGTGCTCCGGCCACCCCGTAGAGCTCGCCGAGATCCTGTCGTGGTCGCCGCGGCGACTGGGCCACGTGATCCACCTTGGCGACGACGTGAAGCGGGAAATCGCCAAGCGCGGCATCGGGCTCGAGCTGTGTCTCAGCTGCAACGTCCACGCGGGCATGGTGACGGGCGGGTTCGAGGGCCATCATTTCGGGGAGTGGTGGGGCGTGGAAGGGAGCTTGATATCTCTGGGCGTACGTTTCTTCTCAGGTCCTTCTTTCCCCCCAAACCTACGGTTTCCGGTATCTTTTCGCGAAGCTAGTTCGTTTGTTCAATAGTGACATGTCAGCTAACTCTCAAGACCAAATAGACCGACGACGTTGGCGTCTTCGGCAGTCCCTTGTCCAACGAGTACAGGTTGGTAGCGGAGCACTTCAAGCTCTCGCGCGACGAAATCTGCGCTCTCGCCCGGCGGGGCATAGAGACCATCTTTGCAGACGAGACCGAGAAAGAACGTCTCCGGCAACTGATGTGGAATCCTGCCGCCATCACTGCCGCAGCTGCTGCCCAACAATAAACAAGTATCGCATCGCATCGGTGGACCGAGTAGACCGGAAGGGCGATCCAGCAAAGGGACCTACGAACGTATTAAAGGGGCACACCGGGATAGCCATTGTTGACAATTTTGTCAATAAACTTTTTCGTGATACGGAAATTTCGGTTCAACCCGGCGCCTACTAGAACGCCGAGTTCGTTTTGTTCATTTCTTCTCCCGGTTCCTGCACTGGACCGGTACAAGACCCTGAGGGCCGGACGGTTCGCTTTCGAGTTTCCGGATCGGGTCGAGCGAGAGTCTTCGTACTCTCTGCCCGCTATGCCTGGTTGGTTTTTTTGGCCGTGTACGAACACGAAGTTCTCCGTAGGCTCCTCCGTGAAATGGAGAATGATTGGGCAGTTCGGCAAAGCGTTGACTTGATTTGCTTCTCAAGAGCAGAGAGTTATTTGTTGTGTTTGATGGAAAATCCCTTGGCTTACTCACCCCCCTTGAGCATTTTGTCTGCCATACGAGCGCCGGGCAGGCAGACCGATCGACTGCCCACCATGAATCGATGTGGTCGATTCACATCAATGGTAGCCATCTACATAAACCACCTTAATTAGCTTTGCTTTCGGCACCTCGCCAACTTACCGAGTAACACTGTCCTTGGGCCCTGTTTTGATACTTGGTGAAATCTGGCCGGACCGGGCTTGGGCTAGCCCCTATATGGGTTGGGCCGGCTACGTCCATGCAGATTTGTAATTCTCCCATTGTGCCCAAAGAAAGATTCTGGCGGGAGAACTCTCTCCTGCTATAGTCCGCTGCTATGTAACGACGTTCAAAGCCTGTAGAAATGTACAGTACTTCACCAGTATTAGGTATTTGGCTGGCTATTCCAACCAGTTTTGGTGGTAGGAGGTACGCTATGCTGAATTGAGGAATGACTCTACAAATAGCCTTACAAAACTCTAAGAGTGGTTTCCGTTGAGCTTACCAAGTCTCCCGAGTCAATGCTTTCGAAGCACGATGCAGTGGTTCGCCATCTTATCAAAGGCAAGGCCCAGAGTCGTTGATACTGTATTACTGATAGCCGGGTCTGTGCAGCAAGTAGGAGCCACAAGTAGGTAGGCGCATGTAATGCCCAACTCGAGACGGCTTCTTACATAATTGCTCAAGCGTGCAAGCTACTTTTGGCGTCCCTTGATTATGGAGGTGTGGGAGGCTTTCTTTGGGAAGCAAGATTTCTTAGATGGTTCCCGCTAGACTGAACGAGCGTTTGCCAGCAGCAGGGACGTGCCAAGCTGCCAGGAGGGTCCTCCCTCGCCCTGTGCCACGGAGGAGAGGGGGCAAGCATACCGCCCAGTCGTAGGGCTAAGAAACGGCAAAATGTCTCGTCTGCTGCAGCCTCGAGGTTTCGTGCTGGTCCTGCTTGTCAAAGTGTGCCACACATTGCCCTCACTGCCTCGGCCCTATAAGAGTGGTAGAAGTATGGGGTGACATTTTGTTGCCCATTATCGTCGTGCTGGGCCCGCGCGCTCCGCGGACTGCCTTACAGGAGTGTACTCTGGAGGCAGATTCGCGAATGGCGATTATCACACCGTGAGACGATCTTTATTCGTCTTGAAATTTCGTTGAGACGACACACAGACCTCGTCGATTTCTTGGATCGTCGACGGGTGCCAGACGAGATCCGTCATGCCACCCATAGGAAAGGTGATCCCGGCGTCAAGATGTGAAACGGCTAAACATGGAGCCAGAAGCACAAGAAAGCATCTTACAGAAGGCTGCGACCTGCGGTTAGGTCAGAGGATTGGGGTTATCACGGGGCGAGTATCCGTACCAACGCTCAATGCAAGTCTGAAAGATACAAAGGGGGAATGTCAGCAGCTCGACGCGAGTAGCAAGCGGATTCTATCCGTGATCCCGGGTGGAACATGAGCCCGTGCGTTTCCCGCTCAGCGGAGAAGACTTGCATTCTTGTCCATGAGTGATCGGCGGCCGCCCAAGATATCGAAGGTGCTCGTAAAGAGACTTACGACGACATATCATGGATCTGTGCAGTGTCCCCCGTTCTGCAATCCCCTGTGTCTATCAGAACCCAATGACCAACTGGTCCGTCATCAACTAGGTTTGTGGAGATACACGAATTCCCGCGGAGTTCACGTTGAGCCCTCGCCGAACTGGATCGGGGGCGAGGCAGTGAATCTGCTTGTCGGTGACGTTGACCGCGACATATCTGTCAAAGCTTCGACCTGGGCAAAATCGAACAATTGGCTGTTAGTTTCGGTCTCCTTCGATCCATCTTGGAATATGCTTCGCGAATCAGACGAGTTGCCATCATGCGCCATTGTGCTTCGATGGACGCCTAACCAACCCAAGTTCGGTATGGGGTCGAACTTGGACTGCCGATGTACCGCACAGTGCGAGCTAGATAACAGGCCAGTTTTTGGTTTCGACATCGTCTGGCGTCAGCAGAGGTATGTAGTTGTATTTAGCGTGTAAGCTAGGGTATGCCATACCTGCTATTCGCCCGGCCAGTCCTGTCTACCAGGAGAGCGTATCTGGGCGGCAGAATGACATCGCCGACGGGTATGACACTGACTTAATTCGCCTAGCCAGACGATATGTTGGTGGCGCCATGAGAGGCTCCTTGGATGCCGGGACTGACAGGCTGCACTCTCAAAATGAAGCAAGTCTGTCGCTGAAGCCTGTGCAGCCTAAGGTGGCACAAAAGCAACCGGCATTCCACCAGGTTACTCTTGGGCTAGTGAGAGGTGGCGCAAGGTTGAAGCAGAATACGGGTACCAGCAGCGAAGGGCTCCCATACCAAGCACAAGATAGGAGTGTCGACTTGCAGGAGGTTCAAGGGATGGCTGTCGAACGCCGAAGGAAAGGAGAGGCGTCGTTTCTTGTTCTCTACATCTCAAATGGTGAAGTATGAGTGTCGAGTATGTAGGTTCATCGATTTGATTTGACGTCTCTTTACCAAGACACGAGGCGCGATTTGGCACCGCCTGTACTTTCTAGAAAAGTACCGACAGTTGTCCATGCCGCGCCTGATATGGGGCAACAGGATTCGGCGATGATGTTGGACGACGCAACGGTGAAAGAAGTCAGAGCTGGGTATCCGTCTGGAACCGTACGCATGCCGTCGCCACGACTAACGTTCAACCGGCATCATCTACTAATCATGGGTTCCGTCCGAAAAAGTAAGAAGTTGTAGTGATGGCGGCATGCTGAAGAGTTTATGCTGATATCGTTTTGATCGTTCTTATATAGGTATGCTTACTTCACTCAAGGACGATCATTGGTATGGGCCAATAGAGTGAGTGAAGGCGAGACATTCTTTTCCTCTGACCTCGAAAAGAAGCAACGCCGGAAGCTTGGGGCTTGTAATGGCACCGCCTGGCTCGAGAACTAGAGCTTGGGCCGCCATCCTAACTGAACCACCAGGAGATGACCCTGACGGGTGACGGGAAAGCTTCGTGGCGGATACATCCTCAAAGCTTCGACAACGAGAGGAGGAGGCTGTTGGCAACACAAGGTAGCACTGGAGTCGGCGAGGCCTGCGAAGGATCTATCGAAGCGCCAGGCCGTGATCTGTAGTGGTCACGGTAAGGTCTGACTTGAGATGAGATCGAGCAATTGGGACGACGGCAAAACTGGTGATGTCGGAAAAGCAAAATAGTCAGAAGGGAGCGAGCTTAGCTTGCGGGCCTGCTGTACAACAAGGGAAATAGATGGGTGGTTCGCCCAATAATCCGATGACCCCGGCTGATTATGATGATGGCTCCCACCCGCCCAGCGATCCGGCAAGGAAGGCATTGGTCTTCGTGTCTATGCCTCTCGCCCAATCCGAGAGTATCGCCACCTGACATCTGGGGATTTCCCGAATAAACGTTTGAGTTAGATCTGCACTTGGACCAAGGGCTCGTCATCATCGTTGTTCTGGCCCTGGACCTCGTCCCAGCCCTGACCCCCTCAAATGGAAAGGTATAGAGAGCTGAGGACTGTGTTGATCGCTGTGGCTACTTTCTTAATGGTAAGGTTTTCGGATGGTTCGCCGAAAACTTTGCCAACATCCAGTACCTTAGCTTGGTGTGATCAAGTCGCATTTTGCCCGTTCTGTTGAGCTTTCAAGTTCTGCCATTGTTTTCCTGGCTGGACCCCAATGCTGCTGGGCGTTTGTTGCTACGTTGAGTTGGCAACCGCTGATCGTTTCAGAGCGAGGCCAAAGCCTTTCGAGCAAGTATCGTGGGTAATATTTGTCAGGTTCAAAAGAAGGAGCGATAAGAGGCGATGTGTAGATATTCGTAGTCGACATAGTTAGGTTCGGCGAGCGCTGCCGACGCGGCTTGCGTACTCCCACCTCCCAGAGGCTGTTATTCTGGCATTGACCATGTTCTTCTCGCCGGTCGGTTGGTCAGCTGAGAGCAGAGACTAAAGAGTGTGTCCAGGGAGGACGCTCTCGGGAGCATTAGACATGTCAGGGTCCAAAATAACTTATAACAGCGACCGAGTTCAGATCAGGACTGCAGTATTCTGTAGGTTAGCGGCGATGAACGGATATTCATCTTCTCGATGAGGTGAGGTGGACGTAGATAGAGAAACGCGGTGCACAGGTCGCGGAACAGCCGGTGCAAAAGAGTGGTAGTGAATGCGTACGTCTGCTTCGTACACATAGTTAGTTGCTTAATTAACAGCTTGTCAGGGATGCGCCAACATGACATCCAAGACATGGACCCAACTGCATGCTGCAGTGCTGCACGGAATTCGATGGGAAGTCGGTACCTGAGACTCTGGATACGGCCTAGTGTCTGTATCCAATCTACTTTTATGCAATGCATCTTAGCTGGAGCGACCCACATTGCAAGGCACCCTACAGGTGAAGTGCAGCTCACTGTGAGAGAAACAACGGGTCATCTGAGTGGTCTGTGGCTCTTGCGATAGTACGACTTCGCTTACTGATGGGATCACTGGCTTTCGGGTCGGCTGGTCGTCTGCTGATTCTTTGTGTCCGAACTGGATACCGTGCGGTT